AATTGTCTTGTAGTGTTTTATTTTTTACAAATCAGAATGACCTAAAATTTGAAACGTATGTACATCTTACTGAGGTGCATCTAATAAAAATATAAAAAAAAATTATCTGTAAACAAAATTGACCAAAATATTTTGAAGGTATTTGGTCATTTTTTTTGTGTAAAATATTTTTTTTATATTTTTCGAAGATTCTTCTATTTTTGATGAATACACATTCCAAATTTTAAGTCATTCTAATTTGTAAAAAAAATGAGAAATAAAATACTACCAAACAATCGTGAACGCGCGATGAACTTTGGACGGTAATGAGAGTAGGCGAAATCACTGTTCATTTTCGCCTATAGACGTTGCGTAGTGTTTTTCTATATACATATGTATTTCTTAGTTTTTATATTTTTATTTATTTTTTTGAATTTGTTTAATATCCTCGAGTTGGACACCCAACTCAGGCTCGGCAAGAGCCCGAGCCCAAATAGAAACTACTCAGCCGATTTTGCGAACATTGATATATGCCACGTCTCCCCTTGAATGATCCTTTTGAGAAATTGGACAAAGAACAATCACTCTCTCTCTCTCTCTGTGGAGAAATTGGACAAAGAACATATTCTCTCTCTCATTGAAGATAGGATTATACATCTCAATCACATTCCTCTAGATCTTTTCCTTTTAACTTCATGACACGCCTAGGGAATCACAGACACGATCACTCTCTCTCTCTTCCCGAGAGATTGCAACGCCTGTAATGTACGAGTTTTTGCTTTTCGATCCTACGCGTGCTTTTCATGAACGTTGTTTGGTCTGACTGTTAGTTGGGTCTGTATATAAGTCCTTGCTCCTTTAGCATTTGACCACCACCCAAATCTTCTTTCAACCTTGTCCTCGTCCCTAGAGAGAGAAGCAGCAGCTTGAGAGTAGAGAGAAGCATCCCAACATGCCTGGAGGAGGCGGCCCAGGCCCCCATGGTGGTCCAAGAGGGCCCGGATGCCCAGACCCACATCACGGACCACCTGGAGGGCCTCTTGGACCCCCAGGCCCAGGTCCACATCACGGACCGCCTGGCGGACCTCAGGAACCACCGGGCGGTCCTCCTAAGCCGTCCGGCCCAGGTCCACATCACGGACCACCTGGCGAACCTCACAGACCACCAGGCGGGCCTCATGGGCCACCAGGCCCAGGCCCACATTGACCGCCTCGCTAGGCCACTGGTTCATGCATGCCGCTCGTATATATCCTGCATGTATGCTGGTAGTATCTATGATTATGAGAATAAGTGAGAATGTTTGGCATGCTTTGTTGAATTCACTATGTTCTCTTATGTAATAGCACTTCTTTAGTGTGCTGCACCGTGTGCATTGTGCAAGTCATGTTCTCTGGCTTCCTTTTATCATAAAAAATTATGGTTTGTCAATGTATTTTCTTTATATATTTAATGGGAGAACCTTACACATGGTTTAATAATCGCCGATTCGATTCGAAATTGCTAGAGTTTAATTATGATAGAGAGGTTGGCTACTCATATGAGGAATCCCTAAATTGGTCTTTTCTCCATTTTCTTCTTTCTATTTCCTTTGTTAAATTTTAACCGATCCATCTCGGTAATCACTTGAATCCAATCAGGCGACTTGGAATTGAGCCCTCGAACGCCCAATTTTGATATTTATATCACTAATCATAGAGTTATAACTTGTCAATTTGGGATTTTCTTGCCATGTACGTAATGGGAAAACATTGATAATGGACCATAATGGTATCCTAAGAAATTTACATATAGATCATATGGTATTACCAGTCCATATCGCGTTGAAATCTCACCTTTTTTGAGTTTTTCTATTCTTATTTTACCTAATTACAAAGTTTAATTTTCAAACCACCCAAGCACAAGTTGAGCTGTTCAAAAGTTGGATTTTTAAACCGCTCAAATGCATCAATTTTTTGTGTTTTGGGCTGTTTGAAAGTTAAACTCTCAAATTTAGGTTAAAACTGATAATAGAAAATTTTAATTTTTTTTTGAATTTTAAGTGATTTGAAAATTAGACTTTTAAACTGACGATAAAAAATGAGAAAAAAAAATAATATATAAATAAATTTTTCTAATATCTCATATTTTGAACTTGCTGAGATGTCCAATGAGCCCGCCAGGTGATGCAAATATTGTATGTGCTACTTTGACAACAAGCTTAAATAGGAAACACATTGCCCCAACTTCATTTTGAGGAATTTGTACTCATTTCAATCTTTATCTAAGTTTTATTCATCAATCTGTGCTAATCAAACAGATAGATGGGGATAGGACAGCAGGATATTATCTATAATCCTCTTAAAGGTAGACCAGAAGTTTTATTGTATATTAGGTTTTATTATTGAGATTGTCTATAAAGACATCATTTATCATTTTTACATAGAGATCACAATCATTCACACTCATTAGATGTCAAACTGGATGGTTTGGGGTGAGTCATAAAGTCCAAAAATTTATATTTTTGGAACTTTATGTTTATTCAATGACACTCTTACAACCACTTTTTTGAAATTTAAATGACAAGAATAATTGTGACCTTCATGTACAATCCCTTTATTATTTCCATCCTTCAATGGTTCATCAAGTGACAATGAGAATCTACAAAATCTTGCGTTAAATATAGTTGTTATAGGGCCCGATCTAACACTATTTTTTCTTCCTAATATAGATAGAGTGCACTCACTGCATATTTTCTCTCTTCAAGAACTACCATTTTCAGAAGAGTTCTCTTTAAAATATATATATATTTTATTGGCTGGTACCAAGGGGCTATGTTTGCCGGCGAAACAAATATCTCTAAGGCCCCAAAATAGGGGAAGGCAAATATTGTTCAGTCTGCCCATGGATATTTTTCTTTCCTTTTTTTTTTGCGATGTTAACTGAATTTTTCATAAATAACGGCAAAATTTAATGTACACAAACGAGATTTTTTTTTCCTTTTTCTTTTTAAAGGTTTAAACAATGCTTGATAGTTGACAGTTTTGTTTCAGCCTCATACATTTATCATACAATTTAAATAACATTCTCTTTCATTCGATTACTAAAAAATATTGTTTGCCATGGTTGATTTTGGCTAATATAATTATGTAAAATCAACGACAAAAAATTTATAAAAGAAAAAGTTTAACTAAGGTGTCAACCAGATACTATTGAAGTAAGGTGCACCTTCAAAATCCTTTCGAAGAGAGTGCTCCAAAATTAGAAATCCCTCCAATTGACTATTACGACCTCAAGATATATAGATATGAAGAAAAATAGGATTTCAAGTCTTAAAAATAATGCATCATTTAATAAGTTATCTAGACCGTTTAATTTAATATTTTCAAGTGTCTCTAGATCCACTTGATCTGTACCATTTTCAAAATTCAAATTCCATAACTATGGACTAAAAAAACTTATTATGCTTTCATAAGGTTTTCAACACTAGAACTATATTTATAGGTAGATTTTAGAGGTGCTCCTTACTTCTACAATATAAGAAAGGTGACTTATATAAACTTCACCTGATTATAAATAAGCAAAAGTATACAAAGAGACCATTTACTTTTAGTCCAAGGAGATCACAATCACTTTTGTCCATCAAATTTGAAATCAAAAGGTTGTAGGAGTATTCTTGGCTAGATCCAAAGTTCAAAAAAAAATCTTGAGCTGCGTGATACATCTCAAGCCATCCCATTTGATATCTAATGACCAGAAGTAATTGTGGCCTCCTTATAACAAAGAGAAATGGTCTCATAGCATATAATCTCTATAAATAAAAGTACTTGCATTACATGAACTACTAATATTCAATATCAATTACCTGCATATCAATTACCAACCTTCCCCCAGAACGTGTATAATATATTATATGGAAAGGTATCCAATAAGACCATTTATCTTAACTGCAAGAGGGTCACATTCAGCCACAGCCATTGAATGCGAAATAGGGTAGATGGGGTTGTCCCCAAGACTGGGCTCAAAGTCCCAATGAAAGGTTTTTTAACTTTGTGACACACCGTAAACTGTTATATTTCACATATGATAGTTATAACCTCCATGTACCTAAAATGAACATTATTGTAGTATAAATTCATATATAATATAGGATATTCGGACCAACTATCCTTTGTTTGTATGTTCGTCAACAATTGGTTATGGACTTAACAAAGGGACAATAGTTTTTTACCATCATCATCATCTTCAAAGATTTTTTCCAATTGGACAATAGTTTTTTTACCAAAGTAGTAAAATCGTATATTACACTGCGGTATGGGTAGCCCAAATAAAGGAAATTTATCAAAAATTAATAAAAAATGAACAATTTAACATTTTATCTATAACTTTTTCGATTTAATTTCGAAAAACCCATATAAAATTACATGGCGAGAGTTGGAATAGTTTAGGAGTAAAACATTGAATAATTCCTTCCTTAACATAATTTTGATAAGTAGTACCCCAAATAATAACAGTCAGGAGATTTTTTTTATTTTTTATTCGGAACTGTTAACTGTCAAACTGGAGCCTAGTAGAAAGGAGTACCAACCGTTTTATTTCCCTAGAAAATAGTTTTAAGAGGAGGTTTTCCTTTCATGAATGACACGTCCCTCCACATGTTGCCCCTTTTCCACGCCTGTGTGTTCATTAGAATTGTTTGGTCTGACCATTAGTTGGAACTCAGCCCAAACATGCATATATACATATCTTCCCTTCTCTATAGCAATTTAGCTCCATCCATAACACTTTCTTTTAACCTTGTCCTAGTCCCCTGAAAACTCAAGACAGGAACAAGAGCGAGAAGCCCAACATGCACGGAGGAGGCGGACCAGGAGGTGGAGGAGGCGGACCAGGAGGTGGAGGAGGCGGACCAGGAGGTGGCGGAGGTGGACCAGGAGGTGGTGGTGGCGGAGGTGGACCAGGCGGCGGCGGTGGTGGCAGAGGTGGACCTGGAGGTGGGGGTTGGGGTGGTGTTGGCGGAGGCAGACCAGGAGGTGGGGGTTGGGGTGGTGTTGGCGGAGGCGGACCAGGAGGTGGGGGTTGGGGTGGTGTTGGCGGAGGCGGAGGCGGAGGCGGAGGCGGACCAGGAGGTGGGGGTTGGGGTGGTGTTGGCGGAGGCGGACCAGGAGGTGGGGGTGGCGGAGGGCCGTCAAGGTGGTGGTGGAGGAGGCCCGCATGGTGGTGGGCCGGGCGGCCCGCATGGTGGCGGGGCTGGTGACCTGGGGCCACATGGTGCTCCAGGTGCGCCTGGAGGCCTAGGCCCATTGCTTGGTGTCCTTGGAGGCCTCGGTCCATATGGTGGTTGGCCAGGCCCATATAGGGGTCCAGGTTGGCCAGGAGGGCCAGACCCACATTATGGACCACCTAGAGGACCTCCTGGACCACCTGGTTGGCCTGATGGTCCACCAGGCCCAGGACCTCATGGCCCACCTGGTTGGCCTCCTGGCCCACCAGGCCCGTATGGGCCTCCTCCTCCACCCTAAGTGTAGTTCATCACATGTATATCCCACATATATGTTACTAGTACCACTCACATTATCATGCGTATACGGATAGGCAGAAACATTTTACAATTTTTCATAATCATCATCATCGGAGTTCTTTTTTTTTTTTTTTTTTTTTTGTCCTTCTCCAAATATTTAGGCATGTTTCCTTTCACTCCATTCTCTTTGTAACAGTCCACTTGCCGAGTGTGATGCTCTCAATGTAAATTTTATGATGCCCATTGTGTAAGTACATGTTTTATGTCGGCTTGCTTCCTTGTTATTATGAAGTTATATGGTTCATCCATGGTGGATTTTCCTGCAATGTCTATTTACTTCTTTTTATTACTTTCTAGCCTTTTGCTGAGCGTCATAACAGAGGAAAAATACAACATGATAGTATATGATCAATATGGTTATGCACAGACTCGTTCGTAGGCGTTATCACCATACAATATGATAATATATGATCAATATTGTTATGCACAAGACACGTTCGTAGGCGTTATCACCATTCAATCAAGAGGTTTAACAGTGATCAAGGGAGAGAGGCACATCTCTGTTGGTCCTACTTCATAGCCGTCCAGTACGTTGATCGAACATTATAGATCAAACAAATCCCACTAAATTTATGATTTTTTAATTTTCATTTTACGTTTTTATTATTATTTTCTAGTATGTGTTGTTTTACTGATATACTATATATTTCTTTTTGGAATGTTAACATGTTTTTTTTAAAATATATTTCTCAAATTTCGAATCAGCAATCCGCTAAAGTGGAATCATTGATTCTAGAGGTGACATGGCCAGTTCCTAATATATTGTGGGAATTAGATCAAGTAAGACGATTCCCGATTCAAATCGGCCGATCGACAATTTTTTAAACCTCGGTCGTGTGAAAAAACTGCTTGCTCATTGAACTTCACTTGTCAAGTTTCCAGTTTGTAGGACCACATGACCCCGTTGCCAATTCAAATAGAGCAATACCTATGGGATTCAAATTTCATTTGGGTCCGCAGCAGTGTTTCAAAATCTGGATTGGTGTTTGTAGATCGTTTGCCACATATATCTAGTCTAATCGCTGAATAAACGATATGGAGTAAGTCCAAGTTAGCCATTCAGAAAAATATTAAAAATTAAATAGAAAATTTTCTCCATACACCCTAATTTGGTGTACCATTTTCTAATAGGTGCGGTTTGTATAGAGCCTAGGCTTTAAACAATGAAATTAGAACATACATTCAAAAAGTGTCTGAGAAATGTAGTTTCACTATTAAAAAAATTTTGTGATAGCTTTAAAATAAATTTTCATATTTATTTATAAAATTTAAAGCTTCACAAATATTGTAGATCGACAGATCTATGAAAACTTGAAAATCTTGAAAATTGACGATCCTTACAAAATACACTATTTTCAAAACTTGAAATCCATTTGTTTCTCATGTCCATGCATCTTGATGTCGAAATGATCAATTTGAAGATGTTTGGACATCAAAACAACCTCTTCTAGTGAAAATTTTAAGTAGGCTCAAATTTGATTGTTTAGAGCCTTAGCTATATAACTTTTCCCTTTTCTAATAGACCCAAATATTGGAAACATATTTAGCATCATTAGTTTTAAAAAAAACTCTATCTTCTAACCCTTGAATCCATTTAACCCTAATTTATGACATTTTTAATGTCCCAAGTATTTTTCAAAACGACGGGCTCTCTTTCTCGCCAGCAAAATTTTATTAGTTAATGGCACAGGGCAACAAAATTCCTCTAATCAACTATTTGGTCAATATCACAAAGTATTGTAATTACAGTGTCATAAGTAACAGATTCAAAGGGCAAACTAAGGTAACTCGCATCTTCTGCTATATTCATTGCCAATTCCAACTGATCGGTTTTACAGAGCTAACGGATGAGGCCTAAGTCCATGAGCCAGTAAGAGTTCGATCACCCTAATCGCCTCATCACTCTTCACCTCTTTAACAACAAAATCTTCCACCTTTGTCCCCAATTGTTACAACCTTCATCATTTCCATCACCATTGCCAATCTCTCTCCTTTGACCTCTAGTCTCTCTCTAATTCCATCACAATTGGCAATCTCACCACTGCTACCCCCACCGGTGGATCACATCCATCGATTTCCACCCCATTCTCTAACAACCTACAGCAGCTGCTATAAACCAGTGTTCTGACTCGGGCTGAGTACTCAGTTCAGCCCAAGTCCTAGTAAAATTAAACAAAACACATATAAATTTGATTAAACAAATAGCGAAAAAATAGATTTTGAAAGTCAGTTAGTGACTGAAGGTATTTTCAAAATTTCTAAAAAAAATATAACATTAAGTATTCATGACCAAAATACTTTCCAATCCTTGCCAAAATGATAGAAAACATAAAAACAAACTATTTTACAAATAGATTTCTTGTTTTATGACTTTTCATAATTTTTCTTAATTTCTTTAAGATCCCTGAGTAGAGCCCCCTGGGACAACTCGGGCTCGGCCGCCACCCGAGTCCTAGCTGACTTGGCCAATTTTTCAAGTACTGCTATGAACTTTAAAATGGCAAATAATTGACCACAAATTTGACTATCCATCCTAGTAATTTTGACTCAGAGATGAGGTTTATATATAAGACGTCCATCTAACAACTAAAATTAGGCTGCATTTTCAAAAGGGTGCTGTTTGTATAGAGCCTAAGCTCTAAACAATCAAATCAGTATCGAGAAATGTGGTTTCAATACTGAAAATATTTAGGATAGACTCGAACTATTTTTTCATAATTATTTATAAATTTTAAAGCTTCAAAATAGTATAAATCAACTGATCTATAAAAACTTGAAAATCTTGAAAATTTATAGTCCAAAAATACATTATAAAATACACTATTTCCAAAACTTGAAATCCATTTTTTCCTCATGTCCGTGCATCTTAATGTCGAGATGATCAATTCGAGGAAAATTGAGCATCAAAACAAATGAATTTCTTGAGGTAGGCTCTAATTTGATTGTTTAGAGCCTTGGCTCTACATAAACTTTCCCTTTTCGAAATCTGCTAAAAGATGCAGTTGTAATTGAATGCAAAGCTGGCTATTTTTGGCTGATCTTTCTTTCTGAATATTTTTTACCACTAAATTTCTATCGAAAGTTCAGGGGTGAATGCCAGTTGGCCAGAATATGTCTTTACAAAACACACATTCTTTCGAGAGAAAGAGATTTCTGCTGAATTGTTGGAGAAAATTTTCATGAGAATTCAATGTTCCTTGAAAATCTTCAAAAGCAAAGAACCAATGCACAGGTACGAGCACAGTGAAGAGATGAGATCCTAAAATTGAAAACGGAAACTATGATTTATGAATGTTACAAAGCATAAACGATGATTTTGTGACCACATTCATTATAAAAAAATTATTTTTCAAGTTTTCTTGGAAGACCTAAAGCCACCAAAACCCATCATGGCTGCCATATCTGTGTCCCCTTCCTCAACATCATCTTCTACCGCCTTTTCCTTCTGCATTCGATGAAACTATTAAATCAGTAAAAACAAAAAAAATAAAGGATATTTCAGTCATTATATGTGTATAATGACAAAGGCCAACCTTTTTTTCCTTCTTTCTTTCCCGGCGTTGCCGCCTCCTCTCTTCTTCCTCTTCTTGCTGTTTCAATATCCTATCATCCAAATCTGAGGCAGCAACAAATAAACCATTTAATTTAACTAACATCCCCATCCCCCCCCCCGGGGTGCAGGTCCCACAAAGCCAACAAAAAACCAACCACCTGTGTATGCTATACGGTATAACATGAGAGATCCACCATCCATTCTTGATAACAAATAATGCAGATTGATCATACTTAGATGAATATCCAGCACCAGGATTTATGGTTGAAGTCCAATGTGCATCACTAGAATAGATGGTGGATGTCCCAATGGCCTAACATGTACTAAAAACCACTGGCATACTTTGATTTTAACACCCCACTGGCATACTTTGATTTTAACACCAACAACGGAACTCTTCATATTCTCTCTCTCTCACTAAAATTCCACTTTTTTTTTAACACTCTGTGAAAACCCCTTAATTGGGATAAGGTTTGGATGATGATGATGATTATGTGAAAACCCAATATGCCCTAAATTGTGAATGAGTTTCCCTCAATTTTACAAAATCTAAAAAAGAACTCCATTTATATTCAAATCATGCCCCATTGTTAATAAAGGAAACGATGGCTTATTGAACATTTTACCTTGCTCGGTAAAGCTGCCAGCCACTTTTCGTTTCTTGAGAATTTCAAAACGATCTTGGACCTGGAAACATAGTATAATTAGCAACCCAGAATACTACTTTCCATTGAAAATGAGATCACAATTTCATTGTCAGACCCCACTATCAGAGAACTAAAGAAAGCAACAGGACAACCAGTCACTCACAAATAAAAACGTAGAATTAACAGTTGAAGAATAATCTGACGACTAGATTAGATAACAAAGACGAGATGTCACAGGTGGAAAGAATACCTCGTTTAACAACTCCACAGTACATATGTATTACATATGGACCATTTAAGGAAAAAATAATGAGGTATAGTGAAGTCAGCTTTCCATTGGGACCTTTTCACACATAAATATATCATTCTTAAGATGAAGCTATCGACATTGCTCCAATCTATCACATTCCACTGAAGCTGAATATTTATTATAATAAAGATCCGGTTCCTATTCTTTCTCCTCTTGAACAAATAATGTTGAAAGATGTTGAAAGAGGTAACAGCTAAGTGGTCACTAATGCAAAAGGCATGGGTAAAAACAATTATTATAAGAAACAAAAGGATAACGGACAACTGTGCTACTTGCTTTTGTTTTTTTTTTCATGATAACTGCATCTGAGTTACTTTCAAAACCCCATCTACTGACGCTTTGGAAGAGTAAGCCATTTATAAGATGTCACACCTCCATAGCAAGGAGCTGACCACAATAGAGTACAATGTGAATTGAAGTTCCCATCTAGATACATATCCATGATGAAATTTCAAAGCAAAAAGCAATAGATTGCTTGAAATACATATCTTTCCTGAGCTCAAAAGATACATCACTCAGTTGAGGATAAAAGTACCTGTTGAAGAGATGCCCTCTCTACTCGCATTGACATTCCCAAAGCTCTTTGATCTAAAGACAAATTACCACCAGATGCAAACTCAAGTATGAGTTAATCTAAGAGATACATTACATATGAGAAAAGATTTTGTTACCTATGGGCCTAACGGTCAAATTAAATCAAGGCCAATCTAACAATTTTATCTTTAATGTTTTTTTCGATGGACCTGAAATTTTGGGACCAAAATATCCCAGTCCGTGTTAGTGAACCTGGTAAAGGTATTTTGGTCCATATTTTTTGTTTTATTTTTTTGGTTCTCCTTGGTCAGTCACACATGCCTCAAAAATTTAAGGTCATTTGGATTTATATAAAAGAAATTTGAGCTTCCAAGAGTGTGCAAACACCTTCACCGTCAAATCAGCCGATATTCAACCTAGGCCATCAGGACTGATACTTCCATCAGCCTATGTGGGATAACAGACATTCATATATATATATATATATATATGGGGACTGACTTCATGTCATCATGTTATTATAGTACAATGAAACCACAATTCCAGAAAACCATATTTGTGGCACTTGTATGACCCCAATTACATATACCCTCTCTTCATCCTAATAATCAATCCCCCAAAAAAATAAAATTCAATTTTCACCCTAGATATGGTCAGAATGAGTCCCCTTCAACAATGAATCTAGATCATCCATTTGGTGAATTTCAAGATCTAGGCCTTTTAAAACTAAAAATCATTTTTTTTATTTTTCAACATTATTCATCTAATGATAATAAAGCCATCTAAAAATTTTGGAAAGGAAAAAAATCCTTCTAAGGCCTAGATCTAAGCATCTTTTACCAAAATGGATGGCCTACATTAATTGGGCAAAAAATACTTTCTAAGTTGTGTTTTCAAATTTTGCTTTTTCGTAATTGTTTATTGGAATGAAAAGAGTGTATATTAAACAATTAGGATCAAACAAATGGATGTTACAGGCTGTTAAATGGTTTTTAAAGATTGTTTCGTTATATTTCTATACAACAGTTGCATGAAATCATTCCCTTCTATGTGTGTGTGTGTAATAGAGATAGAGAGAATTATTTCCCAAACATTCTCATATATATATGTATATATATATATAAGAGAGAGAGAGAGAGAGAGAGAGTTTTATTTCTACCACATTCTCTATAATGCTTACGTTTTTTCCCATTTATGTGATCCAAGTAGTTTGCAGAATCCTTAACGACGCATTCACAAACACCACAATAGTAGCCAGCCTGTAACACAAATATTACAAGAACATGAGAAGATATGTAAATGCGAAAATTGTTAAGAGCCCCATGATCAAAATCATATGCAAAGAATATTTAAGCCAACAATATCAAACTATTAACCATCAAATTAGTGGCACAAAAAATCACTACTTAAATAGAAAATTGAATTCTATATTGGATAACTATCCTATAATTTGGAAAGGATTCTAGCAGAGCAATTCAAGCCAAGAAAGAAGAGATGATTTATTTATGGACAAGTTGAATACAAGAAGACATAGTTCGCAAACACGGCCTGGTTGACCCAGACTCACCATGTCGACAGGCGAGGTCTCAAACCAAGTCAAATTAACTGGTGTCCCAGACCAGTCCTGCAGGCTTGGCTGACCCGGCCAAGGCCAATCATGACTCATTTGCCCCAGCCTGGCCTTGCCAGGTTCCACAGGTTGTCCTTTTATTTTAAAAAAAAAGAAAGGAAGTTTTGTTTAATAATCATAACGAACTTTGCTAGTTAAGACTTAAATTTAACACGAGTGGAGCACAAATTGAAGATACAATATATACAAATATATACAACCCTTTATTCCTCATAATTTACCCCTTCAAGAAAAAAATACTCAAAGAAAGTAGTCTCTCTCTCTCTCTCTCTCTCTCTCTCTGATTTATACTAGCATGAGACTCTCTCTCTCTCTCTCTCTCTCTCTCTGATTCTATACAGCATGAGATCCTCTTTAAAAGTCTTAAAATTTCTATATTTGATCCACTGGCCAACCTACAGAGTCACGGGTTGACCCAAACTGGGGACTAACTAAGTCCAGGTTTGGATAAAGAAAAGGACAAGTGAATCTATTTTAAAACAAGACATTCTTCAGCCTTCAAGTACCCTTTGAAATCTAAAACCCTATTACATTAGTAAAAAACATGTTTTAGAAAAGAGAACACAAGGAAAGATAAATCTTTTTCACCATAGCATCATGATTACTACTCGCATAATTATACACATACACTGTAATACAACCCGCCAGAAAAGGGTATGCTTAGTGAAGAATCAGAACGCAAAGAGGTAAATGAAATCAACTTTGGCTGTTTCTACGAATAATATTATTGTAGAAGTAATTCTGCAATTTGATTCCCGAACATTAAATCATATAGCTGGTGATATAACTTAAATTAGAGTTCTCAAGCAATCAGTATCATCATCATTCATACAACTCATTGCCTTTATGAGCTCCTCAAGTTGGATCAATTAGCTCCAGTGATGCAATTTATATAAAGTTAACATGTTGCAAACTCTACCTTTCTATCATTTTCTCGTTTTTGGTTTAACTGCATATATTTCAGAAGTTGTGAACCTTATTTCTTTTGGCGAAATTGTTGATAAAAATTTGTGATACTTAGTTTCTAATTTCTACAATATGATGGATTGATGCAACAAGTTAATAGAAAATATGAATATGTAACTTATTTTGAGATGGTTGGTAATCCTTGTCTTTGTTTCACTGTTGCAAAAACTTGAGTTAATTTTTTCTGCGCAGTAATTAATTAGAAATTCCATCCTCTGGAACTAAAAGACAATTTATAATGTCCTTTTTGGAAATAAAAGGCAAGTAAATATTGACGAAGCTTTATGTAACATCATAAGAAACATTAGAATCTAATGTTCCCCACTTTTGAGGTGGGTGAGAAACCTAAAAAAGTACCATATCAATCTTTTTTCTTTAGCAAATTTTAAATTTTTTTGAGCAACTATAAAAAATTACCATTTCTTTCTCCTCTCCAATATCAATCTCGGTGAGGCCTCCATACAGGGGGGGAGCCCCAAACGCTTTTATGGCCACTGCTAATTCAAATTTGGGCCGTCCATTTCAATGGACAGTGAGAATCTAAGGGATTTAGAGTGTTTTGGAGCTTCAAACCAAATCCTCCTTGTAGAAGCCACTCCAGTGTTCAAAAAAACAGACCTCCCAACGCCTAGGCAGCTGCCTAGGCGGTACGTAACTCGCCTAGGCGGCCGTCCAACGCCCAGCAGTGGGCGGCCGCCTAGGGCCTACGCCCCGCCCAGAGGCAGAAATGTTTTTTTTTTTTTTGACTTTTTTTTAAGATATAAAAGGTTAGAAGGAGGAGTTTAGGTTCATTTGAAACCTAAACCCACAAGAACCCCTTTTACAGATAAAGAAACCTCCAGAAAACTACATTTCATTGGATCGAAGTGTTTCTCAAAGTTTGAAGTTCGAACACAAAACTTTATTTTTTAGATTGCTTGTTTTATTTTGAGATGTCTTATTCAGGAGTTAGTCAAAGTAGAGATCCGGGTTGGAAATATGGATAACACCCGAATCCAAATGGCATAAATTGCGTTAGATGCAATTTTTGTGAAAAAGATACAAAAGGACGCATAAACCGGTTTAAGAAACATATTGCCGGCATTAAGGGGGATGTTGACCCTTGTAAAAATGTTTATGAAGCTATCAAAGAGGAGATTAAGCAATATATAAGTTATGTAAAACAAAAACAAGAACAAAATCCTTATCATAGATCTATTTCTGCTACTTCTAGAAGAAGTGATCCAGATTGGAAGTATGGATACCACCCAAAACCAAATGATAAAAAATGTACAAGGCGTAATTTTTGTGAAAAAGATACCGATGGGGGTATTAACCGATTCAAAAAACACTTTGCTAGTGTTAGAGGTAATGTTGCTTCTTGTACAAAGGTTCCTGAAGCAGTTCGGGATGAGATTAGACATCTTCTGAATTTAGAAGAACCAAAAAAGGATGAAATTAAGCCTTGTTCTATGGAAGTATCTTCTCCAGGTTCTAGTCGGAGTAGTTATCCAGGTTGGAAGTATGGTTATAACCCGAATCCAAGTGATAAAAATCGTATTAAATGTAATTATTGTGGAAAAGATACTAATGCGGGTATTTAACGGTTTAAAAAACGCCTTGCCGGTATTATGGGGGATGTTGCCCTGTTTAAAAATGTTCCGAAGGCTACCAGGGAGGAAATTATACAATATTTGAGTTCAGAGAAACACAAAGAAAAGGGTAAAGCAGCCAAGACTCCTAGGGCCTCATCTGCACAGACTGCACATACTAGTAAGAGGAAGGTAGAAGAAAATGAAGAAGAAGAGGCAGATTAAAAAGAAACAGAGGAGGACAAGCGTTATATTGAAGAGGGAGATGACTCTGATGATAATGGCCTCAACTCTGATGCATATGATGAGACTTGCCTTATTAATATTCCTTCTGATGATGATGACGACTAAAGACTCTTGCCTTTTGGTGCTGAGTGTTGAGTGTTGAGTGTTGACTGTTGTGTTGAGTCATGAGTGTTGACTTTTGTTAGAGTGTATACTTTCTACATTTCTATATATTTTTGAATTTTCTGTTGTGTTGAGTGTTGACTTTTATATCCTACACTTGTATGATTTTACAGTTTACTGTTTAAACAATATGAATTATCAAAATTCTCTTCTCGACGTCTATCTTTTTTTTCTCAACTTGGAATATGGTATATTGATATTTGGTATGTTTTTTTCAACTGGGCAGCCGCCCAGGTTTTGAGCGGCCGCCTTGGACCCGCCTAGCACTTTTTGATACACTGAACGACTCTAAAACAATCTCATTGAGAGAAAATAGCTTGGAGCTTCAAAAATATTGTAAAAATGTAGCCCCATAGCAGATCAAGGCCGTCCATTTAGAATGGACAGTAGATCTAACGGATTTGGAGTTTTTATGGAGCTCCAAAATTAAATCTTATTTAGAGGATCATGAGTATGATTTGGAGGTGATTGGAGCTGTTTTGGGCCCCTCACCAACCTTAAAAGAGATTTTTGAGGAGGGGAACATTGTCGTCTAATTTTCCAAGGGACACAATGTTTTCCCTTTATTAAATGCATGAATTTTTTTTTCCTTATGATGAAATCCTAAAATGCCAGCATTGAATTTGAACAAAATATTCTATTATTCTCATGTACTTATGCTTCACAGTTTGGGGAACTGGAGAAACTGTGGTGTTTGACGCCAAACTCAGGTCCACAGTGTTTGTCACACCTTTGCTTTGCCTGAAAGTGGGCAATAGAAGGACAGTAATGGTATGTCACTTCAGATCCCTCATAATAAAGACATGAAAAGACTGCAAAGATGGAGAGGTTCAAAAAGCTTATATCAGAGCCTTCTAGTATGCCATTTCACCAGTAATACAGGACTTCATAACTTATCATGTGCAAAATCACATTGCCCTCAATATACTGAACTGAAACAGAGTGCACACAATTAACTTGATTGCTGGCAAAATATCCTCCTTATTAATTACATACACGGCACTCAATATCATCTCATAACAGACGATGTTATAACAAACTCAATGCCAGCAGCCAGGGTAGAATTTTTAAGGATGATGGAAACAGAAAAGGAGGTTAAATGGAAAATAACAAACAACGATCAAAATCGTTCTCTACACTCTACAGACAGGTAAGAGCTTTAGGAGGAGACTTCTTAAAGATGGACGCAAATAGGTGGTCCATCTAAAAACAATTGAAATTAAATGTCCAACTATTTTCTTAATAGAATTATTATTTCTAATTTTCAAAATTTATTTATTTATTCATATTCATGATCGCCATGATAGAGATTACATGTCCTTAAAAATTAAGTGCAAAAATCCATCTCAAAGATAGATTTTTAAGAGGTGACTCATTTCTACATGGACTCATAGAAACCGTGTCCTACATATATTAGTATCCATAATAATGTGCATGGAATGATAATAAAATTGATACTATACCTAGAAAAACAGTCATCTTTGATTCATTTAACAATGATTTTGAAACATTTCAAGTGTATTTTTAATGAGTCGCCACTCCTAGAAGATCTTCACGCTACTCTCATCTGCTGAAGAGAACAATCTTAATCCACTTGGCAAAATTATAGTTTGTATAGCGAATAATTAAAAGATTTGACAGTACAAGCAAGTTCAAGGCTACAATAATTTTAGCACTCCTCTAACTCTGAAGGTTCCATAAGAATTGACAAGAAGAAGAAGCTAAATACCCAAGGCAAGAGGTAAAAAACAACACAAATCAAATAGATGAGGAAATACCTGCTGGCTTAAGGGCGCTATGGGAGTGACAACCTGAAAAGCAAAAGGCACATTATGTCAAAAAAGCTGTAAATACCTAAAACTACCCAAGGATGGAGAATAGTGAAGGATCACTCCGCTTTCCTTAAGGCATGTATAACTGGAGACAAAATATACGAGAATTTTCATGCCCATACTATAGAATAAACGAATTTATTTAGTAGTGATGAGAAGTTTCTCATAAAGCTACAACAGCTGCAATTATCACTGCAAAAATTACGGAAACACTTATGCAAATCCATCTAACAAGGCTAGCGATTAATTCAGAATAGAAGCACATATAATTTGTATATGAGAGGACAATTTCATTTCAATTCAAACTAACAATAGTTGACTCTGGCTCATGATTATAAGCAGATATCATATACAAGGAACTGTATAAACAAATATATGAGCCACCAACCATAGTTTGGTAGCTCACAAAGTCAAAGCATTTGTTTTGGAGAACAAAATGATTCGGATTCAATCTAATTTCTAAAATTCAGTCATTAAGTCTGCAAACAGTAGGATAGATCATCTATGTCCTATAGTTCAGTTTTTAAGTCTGCAAGCTTAGGATACTCAGCTGAAAACTAACGTCGAATAAAATATCCATCTGTCCGCACTATCAGATTCCTTCAACATCGTTCCTGAATACCAAAATTTAAGATGCCTCCTAAAAGTAACATTATGCCATTTCATAGCAACGACAAACACATGTTAATCTATTGAATAAGGAAATCAACTGCTATATTCATCTAGAGACAGATAACATTAAAACTATTCAAAATTCAAATTAAATAAATAAAAATACACAGCATACAATTTAGAAACCCAAATTAATAACAAGCTACATAAAACTGCAACTCCCAGTTCATGAGTTGTAGACACTCCCAAGTTTCTTAGTTAACATAGAACTAGGCATTAGAAAAGAGTGTTTCAGGCATTCATTCAAATCTACCAAACATTTTCCACCTAAAAGGGCCAGAAATATCTGCAAATGCCAGTTTCCATTACCCTAGAACTCACAAGGTTTAGGGTTCCAGATAAAATAATGTCAAGGTGACCAGCAGCTCAAATAGTCTTGGCACTGCTCTGATGCCAGGCAAATGCACTTGGCAATGTGTTTGGCACCATCGTAACTGTCTAGTTTTGGTTACTTAGGGAGAACCAAAGGATTCTCCATGTATTCATGTGAACAACAACATTTTTATAATCTTGTCAACTTTTGCATGCATAATTTAAGCTGTATTTGTGACATTTAAAACCTATTATTGGGTATTTGATCGGTGCAGCTCACAAATTGCATCTGTACAATTAATTTGGGAAGAGCGGGGAGGTCTTTCTTTCTCATTGTAAAAGTGAGCATAAAAGCAGAGAAACCGATTTTCCCTATGGTCCATGGCCTAACAAATGGGGGATAGAAGCCCTCCATTCACCACCATCAGAGAAATCACTAAAACACAGATTTACCCTATAATCCCCATTCCCAAAACCCACCTTATAGAATACAATCTATCTTGTTTGAGCTTCTAAATTCTTGCAATCCATGAATGCGTTAAATGCTAAAAGATGTTTTCCATTACCCTAGCAAGGAGAACTTACAAGTTTAGGGTTTCTACAATAGCAGTAAATGCGAGGAAGTTGACATGGAAATGCTATAATTCGGCCTACTTACCATCTTTTTATTAGTTGTTAACAAAACCGTATAACTGCTGTGTCCACCTTAAAAACATAAAAAGAAAAGAAGAATCCTAAGTGATGGTAAGGATTTTCTCATGTTCTACTCTTTAAAATACCCAAAGAACCTTGTCATGTTAAAGAAAACATACAAAGTAGGGGTTCCAGAAGCAAGCCAGCTTGCAAGCTGGCTTGGCTGAGTTCAAGATGAGCCGAGCTTAAGCAATATTTTACAGCTTAATGAGACAAACTAAGACCAGCCTGATAGCTCATTTATCAAACAAGCCCAGCTCAAGCCAACACAACCTTGGCTTGAGCATGTTTAATATATTGTGTATGCATTCTATATAAACAATTAATAACACAACATACATATCTCACAAATACGTGTAATTTATAAGAACGGCACATGATCAGCTAGACTATGGCTTGAATTGGCACATTTATGGGCTTGTTTAAGTAAACAAATCAAGCTGAGCTGAACTCAAGCTTGCTCCCCTTAATCAATCCAAGCTCAAAGTAAGCTGAGCACAAGATGGTCTTCCGCCCATGCAAGATGAGCTTGACCATGTCCAAGCTCAGATCAGCTTAGCCCTTTGACACCCCTTATTCAAAGGGCAACTTTTTTATGCAGCAAGTGGCTTCTACAGGCCATAATATCAAACAGAAGCCTCTACACCCTTGCTTTACATGCGTATTTTCTTATATAACTACATTACTATGTAAAACAGACAAGTGCATTGTAGAAATCTATAACCACATAAGAAAAAGCCACCCAAGGCACCTTCTTGCTTCAGTTCTATATTTCCTTTTACAAAAAAAACCCTATTGTTGCCGGCCAATTTTCTGACTGTGTTCAAGTTCCATTCATGTTTGTGTATATGCCCTAATACATATGAACTATAGGTGAAAACATGCCATGTAACATGATAATAAAAATATGAAAGAGCACAAACAAAGTAAAGAAGTAACTGGTAACCTGGGTTTTCCCCAATCGAGAGACAAGATCAACTTCATAATCTCTATGCTTCAAAGGTTTCCTTTGCACTGGGGTCACTCTTGCTGAATAAGAAAAATCGCAGACAACACTAATTAAATGAAATCAGTACAGAAAAATAAAAAAAATGAAAGGATAAGGAACATATAAAAAAGAATTGCAACAAAACCATATTAGCAAATTCAGTAATGTCCAAACCTTTGGACTTCAAGCGCCCCTCTTCCTCCTGCAACAGAGTAAAAAATATTCGAATATTAGAACAGACCTCGGGGAAAAAAAAAAAAACACTTCAGCCCAAAATAACTTGTCAAAACATAATTCCAACTTGTAATGGTATCATCAAAAATATATGGGCATGCCTGCTCTTCTCGCTCACGAGCACGTTGCAAATACTCCTCTCGGTCCCATTTTCTTCTATGAGTATTATCAACCCCAGCAGCCTAAACAACAAAAATATTAAACCCCACACATAAAAAACAAGTAGCATATGAGGAATCCAAAATCTCTGATTTGTAACAGAAACACAGAGCAGTTAACATCCGAAGAATTGAAACTCACGGTATTTCCCGGATGAGCCATCAGAAGAGTTGGCCTCAATAAAAATCCACCGCAGCTGAATCATCAAAGCTCCAAAAGTCATTCCATGGAAATAATGATTCATTTATAAGAAATTTTCTGAAACCCCGAAAAGCAAACAAGCGGTAAGATCACTGAGACAAGAAAATAACAGAAAAATATATATATTGTAAATCATAAATAGAGATAAATCCACGAAGAAATCAAAATGGTATACTAAATGAGATGATATTTGCGTCTCTCAAAAAGCCATTTGCAATTTCTATTGATCAAAATACATGAATTTTGGACATACGAAAGAGGGAAGGACGATTTAAATGGGATTGAATAAATAGGTAAAAGAGAAAATAAGCAATTAATCCGAAAAAGAATGAAAAAGAAGTGAGATAGTCATCCAAAAAAAGGATGAAAAGAAGAACGAAACGAAAAAGAAGGGTTACCTGTTTGAACTCTAGAGACCGGTTTTCTCAAGGTTAATGGCGGGGAAGATAGTAAATGACGGTCCTTCTCCAAAATCAAACAGAGCCTATCTCTCTTTCTCTATCTCTCTCAAATCAAATAGAGCCTCTCTCTCTCTAAAATCAAATAGAGCCTCTCTCTATCTAGAACAAAAAAAACCTCCTGAGCCGAGCAGTAGAGCGAAACTGGAAATAAGACCATCTGAATTCTATTCATCTGAAAAATAAGAGACATTTACTAATATGACCCTCGTAGTTGATGATTTTACTGGAATGTCCTCCCCTTGGAAATACGTATTTTGAAAGATAATACACGAGCATGAACCCTCTTCGCGCTGTCAATGAAATGTGGGAAATTTATCTAATATATACTATATTTATTTAAAGGGTGCGTTTGTATGGAGCCTAGGCTCTAAACAATCAAATTAGAGCCTATTTTCAAATGGTATCGAGAAATGTGGTTTCAATATTGGAAATTATCGCTAAGATACCCATATTTTTAAAAAATTAGAAAAAAAACAACCCAATTTCCCAAAACCTCACCCATACCCATTTTCGTGAAACTTTGGACCAAACTACCATTTACGGTAGTCTTTGTACCATAATAAGAATTATGGTATTAAAAACATCGTAATTTTAATTTACGGTACTATGAGTACCGCATTGTTCTTGCAATATATTACAGTACTACTAGTACCGTAATTCTTCAAAAGTTTTTTACTGTACTACGAGTACCGTAATACACCTTATAGCAACTTTTAAAATGTATTACGGTACTTGTAGTACCGTAATACTTCCCTTTTTCAGCCATATAAACCCTAACGCAAAAGAACTCAATATTACAGACTTCATCCAAACAACCTAAGATTACAGTCTTCATTATGTCGTTAGAAGGTTGCTACGGTGTTCTCCATCTTCATCGATCTCTCCTTCATTATTTCAGGTAAGAAATAGTTGTTGTTGGATTTATAAACTCCAATCGTACAATATTAATTTCAGAGCACATAGAATTGCAACATCTTTGTTCTCTCTTTTCAATTCAACAGATTTGTTATTTCTTCCAATATCTGTGATTAATTTCTTGGATCGAAATGGTGTAGTATTTAGGTTTTTGATAATTTTTGCCATTCTTTTAATAATTTCTTCACCCCCTAATGCTTCTTGAAGAAATTTGGTGGGTTTGATAGATAATCGAAGTAGTTATCAGATTCATGTTTCAATTTGTTCAAAAAACAAAATATTATAGGTTGATATTCACCCAAAAGGGTGTTGCTCAAAAAACCTGTGCTCAATCCAAAAACAAAGATTTTTTAAACTAAAATTTGAAACTAAATATTATGGCATCTTCTTATATTTTATTTGAAAATAAATATTGTTCAAGCTTGTATGATGATATCTTGTATTTTTTATGAAAACTGAGTTCATTACCTTATTTGATAATCCATCATTGCATTTTGTGCAACCTATGCTAGCATATATCAATGACAATAAGACAAAATAAAAATAAAAATCGATCGTATGAATCTCTCTCGAAATGTTCAAAAATCTTTGCCAACTTATATTTGTAAGGAGTGAAAAACATCAATGTCTATATATCAATGTAGTAGGGTTTCTAATATTAATTATATTTGGAGAATCAACTCTCAACACAAACCTAGGCTTTATTATCAAGAAAAGTATAACATTTGATTTGAAATTAAATATTATTCAAGCTTGTGTAATGGCATCTTCTGATATTTGTTTTGAAGCTAAATATTGTTCAAGCTTTTGTGATGGTATCATAGGCATTGGATGAGTTCATTCCCTTATTAGCTAATCCTTCCCTGCATTTTGTACAACCTAAGCTAGCATATGTCAATGACACCAAGTTAGGCATTTTTTTTAGTAGAATTAGCATCACATGTCATTATGTTGTCATTGAACTTGGTCCATATAGCTGAGTATATGAAATATGTAAATTGTAGACATTAACCGCTAATGCATTTTGCTAGCCATCTTTGAATGATTTGTTTCTTTTTGCTTGTGATATCAATGTACACCAAGTTAGGCTTTTTTAAGTAAAATTGGCATAAATGTACACCAAGTTAGACATGTTTTTAAGTAGAATTAGCTTATGCATATTTGGAATGGAGTGTAAGTTGCAGATATAGTGGTTTTAAATATAGGTACCAAATTTATCAGGGACTTAAGGAATACTTACTAGGACATTTAAATATCATACTATCGTATCATTTACTATAAAAATGTTTATTAATGAATATTTTTTTTTGTTTATTTACAAAGATTTTTTATGTATGATGACTTTTTGAACAATGATCATGGCAGAAGATGCACCCTTCCCTGGAGGTCCAGAGATTCCTTCATTGCTCACTAGACAAAGGGAACATATATCACAGAAGATATGGGAAGGAGATGTAAGTAGAAATATTTAAAATTATATTCTTTATCTATCATATTAGTTAATCATTTTTTTTTTTTTATGTATCTGAAATGACAAATTCTATTTCAACATCGAAAAAATACCTCAGGATTGATGTGAAGCCTAATGCAAGTGCTGCATGGCTGTTAACAAACAACGACCAAATTGATTTGGTCAGGAGATCAAGATTGTATCATATGAGTATAATATCGATGAATCGACATGACCACGACACATTATCTACAATCATCGAGAGGTGGCGCGTTAAGACAAATACGGGGCACTTCAATGTAGACATCGGAGAGATGATGCCTACACTTGAAGATACATGAAAAATTCTTCGGTTAAAGGTGACTGGTGTAGCTGTAACCGTGAGGAGAGTGGAGAACTAGGAGAAACATATAGTTCGCATGATAGGACAGCTGTCACCTGGTCATAGTCATTCCTTTATCCGACTGACATGGTTGAGGAACATATTTAAGCATATACCACATAACTATAACCGCAGGACTCTTTGACGATATACCCGTGCTTATATCTTATATCTAGTCGAGTGCATAATATTTACGGATTCCACAGATGGTACAGTTCCTACAATCTACTTACAACTTTTTGAAGGTATCGATGTAATATGCATGGGGTGCAACTACGTTAGCATTTTTGTTTCGAGCCTTGTCAAAGGTTGTTCATGCTGATCATTAACACTTAAGTAGATCTGCCACTCTTTTGCAGGTAATTGTTTTGATACTTTTTATAAAGTTCAATAGATATTTCTTGTTCTGATTCTTATTTTTTTATACAGGCATTTCAATGTTGGGCATACGAGCATTTCAAATTGTTGCGCCCAATTCCAAAAGAAATAAGGGCACGGCAACCTAGATCCCTCAGGTGGGCCCCTCCTAGATAATGGGATAACACTCACAACTTCGGTTTGGTGGGGCGACAAGAGTTTGATAATACGTGGATAAATGATGTTAGTATAGTATAGTTATAATTTGTTTTGTTTAGTTATAATTTATTTAAATTTAGGTGATGTTATTATAGGTAAATTTGTGATGTTAGTATAGATAAATTTGTTATGTTACATGGACCACATACGATGATTTGTTACAATTTGTGATGTTTATAATTAAATTTGTTTATTTATGTCATAGGTCATATGGACCCCATACGACGATTATCCTGACATAGGAGAGGAAAGTGCAGATGATAGAGATTATGGGCTTTGTGTCCATGAGACTGTTTTGTGTCATACATACCTTATATGTGGACACATCTGTGAGGAGTATATGCTGGATCATGTGCTCCGGCAATTTGGACGTTACCAAGGGATATCAGCAGATCCCTTATAGTGGGAGAGGAGGGAGAGAAGGGGGAATAAATATGACAACTAAGGAGATAAGCTTAGAGATGAAATCGATATGTGAACGAATCGATTAGATTATTTTTGTCAGGCAGATGAAGGTATGTACAATGGGAAGCCGACACGAGAATACATCAAGTGGTACAAACTAAGGACTAGGCCCCTGATCCATAATATATTTAGAAAACGTCCTTCCAAATATGCACCTTGAGGTTATAATGATGAAGATAGAATGACAGTTATTTATCTTCATATTTCATATAACTTAATACAATTTAGAAGTCTCAATAATAATTTCGTATTTGATATGACTTTATGTAGCCTAGGGACATCAGCCATGCAACTAAACTTTTACTTGAAGGTTGCAATTCAAGAAATTGGGACCTAGTTGATGAAGCAATATATATAGTTAAAACATATGACCCAAAAATTGCAGAGGAAGAAGTATCTGAAGAATTGGAGCTAGATGATAAGATGGATGACAACGTGCAAGTATGACATCATTCTCGACTAAATGAGGGGTCAAGTAATACATAACTCGTCCCCACAGCGATTCAACCAGAGGAGCCCAGATAACAATTGTGTCATCGTGTTGCAAGACGGGAGGAGAGCAGCTCACAACAGCAGAGCAGCTCTAATAGAAAGTTGCAGGTACCTTGCAGATCGAGAAGCTGCCAATACGACAAAAGCGTTCATAATGTGTACATGACTGGATGTATGGTTTTATTTATTGTAATGAGGCAAGTAGTGCTTAATCTGTGTAAATAGGTCATTAGTGCCTATACTGTTTTATATGAGAAGTCTTGTATAAAAAGTGTTGCTTGTATGTGAATTGCTTTGTATGTGAATTGTTGTGTGTATATCAATTTCACGGCCCATTAGTCTTAAAGGGTGCAACTCAGGGTACAAATGGTCTACAAGTATAAATACAACTCGTGCTACAAATATTGATTAGGTACATCACATTTTGAAGCTATGAGAAAAGTTACTTACAACCTACAATTCACATTTTGTAACTAAGACTAGAGCGGCAGAAGTTGAGTAAAATAGATGGGCAGAAGCTATGAGAAAAGTTACTTATAACCTACAACCAGCATATCTTCATAAAATAGATGGGCAAAAGGTGAGTAATTAAGACTAGAGGAGAGGACAAATGTTGCCCAATGGTGATGTGGAAGAAGCAATATTGTTAGTGATGTTGGCTTGCATTTCTTATAGACAAATTATTAAAAAAAAAAATTATTATGGTTCTTTTAATACCGTAATACCTGTTTAAGGAATTACAGTACTAAGAGTACCGCAATGACTATTACGGTACTAAGAGTACCATAATGACTATTCCGGTACTAAGAGTACCGTAATAGTATTATATCCAAACTGTTCGCAGAAATCACTCAACTCCTTTTTCCCTGTCATCCTTTGTTTA